AACTTACCTTAATCCTTTGTAACTTGTACTGCCTTCAAAGGCGGTGAAGAGTCAATTAATTTTCCGATATCAACCCTCAGCTGGTCAAAACCACTTCTGATATTTTCTAGGAGAGACAAATATCATCAGAAGACATGGTTGGGTTTACAATCCAATAAAGGATCTCCGTGTAAATTAAATATGGCAAACTCTGTATTAAAAGGCTGGAAACTCAGTCTGTGGAATCACTGGTACGATTTGTCCTCAGCTCTTTGCTTTGTATCAATAGCTGTTTTTTTGCTTAGTCTATTCCCACCATTAGTGTAAGGTTTTGGAGCTTTTCATCAATAAATACCTGCATGTTTTCAAACCAGAGTTCAAACACATGAAACAAAAACAATTTGTTTTCCTATTTCATTGACATTTCGAAAAGCATATTTAGAACAACACATTCAGCCATTGCCACTACCTTACGTAATGTAGTGTTTTTGTTTTATTACTTTTGGATGGTTGTCTTCTTTTATTTCTTAAACCACTGAAATATCCTTTTCCTCTACTACTGACCTCGAATCTTTGTTTCTCCTTGTTGTAGTATCAAGGTGTCCAACTTGTCGCTAAGTTTTTTAACCTGAATTCTTGTCTGTTCACTTTCATCTGTGACTTTGTTGGCACATCATGATACATACAACATGATATAATAATGACCTTTTTCCTTATGCTAACTTATTCCATAATAAAAGGTTCTTCTAGAAGTAATGTCCAACCTCTGCAGTGGTTCGATGTTCTGATTTCATATCTCTCGCTAGAAAAACCACGGCGTGTGTAAACTAGAGGAGTATATTAATTAATGTACAATACCTTGAGTCTCTCCCATCACTTCTTTCACTTTCACTTCCATAAGAGGGTCCATACACTTATTCTTAAGCTTACCGATTGCAGATCTATAACCAAATCCTCCCAGAACTACTTTGGCAGCACTGATATCCTGCCAGTAGAAGTTGAATGTTGCATCGTCCACAGATGCTTGGTTGGCATGGCTGTACACAACATCATTGAAGTACTTTAGCCTGACTATGTTGGCATTCTTGCTAAAATCTAAGTCAAGTGGTAGACTGTCCCTATCCAGTCCTGGAAGGAGTCAACGCACAGATATTCCTCAATAGCGCATACAGTAACACAAAATCAAAGTTTGCTGATGAAACAGATGATGGGACAGTTGGATACAACTTTCCCCATTCTGTAAAACTCATGACTTTCCTCTCCTATAGAGACTATAATGCTGCATGCTCTGCATGATGCCTCAAAACTGATTGAAGTTCTACTGGAGGGTGTATGGTATCAAAAGTGTCTCTTAAGACGGGGGATCCAACATCGACCAGAAGGCGATAAAGTCGAGCAAAGTTGGTTGTCTCCTGGGTAGAAGGCAATAATGGTGCAGCTGATNNGGACTATACTGCGTTGAGATTGAGAAGAGAAATTGGGTCGTGGTCACTCGTGGGACTTGACGGGTTAAATCAATTGAAAAGGGGTTATACTCGTAACAAGAAAGGAAAACATTTCAAAGTATCAGTATCTGCAAGGAATCACTCTACCAATTTCTCGTGATACAGTCAATAAAAAGTGTGACAAGCACAATTAATTGTAGAGTTGTAAAAAATGTACATTTTTGTACGTAATTCACTAGCCTGGTAACAGGCTAGTGATTGGCAAAGTCAAAGTCTGATTGGATAAATTGATTAAAGCAATTTTTTTCTCATCAGTCAATAAAAAGGCAAATAAACAAAGTTCGTTAAAAGATCAAATTGTAAATTATTCAATACGTTACAGATCCTTAATTGCACATTTATTCTCAATTTTTAATCACTTGAAAAGAATTTTCACACCAAATGTTGTAAAGCTATTTCTTCTGTGAAACAAGTCTCTTCATCATCTGAGTGACTGATACCACCATGTGGGTAGTCATTTGTTAGAACTACAAACCATGACAATTTGTAAAGTACCTGAACTTCAAAAGTGGCCCTGTTTCGAATAAATCTGTTGTCCCGAAATATTTCTTGGCCATTTTTGTCTTGCTTCCTAATTGATAGATTCCATGGAACTTGAGATCTCTTAGCTCACGGACAAACTCGCATATTCCATTTTGAAATATGATTTGCACACATTTGCACACAAGTGAAAATATTTAGCGATTTTTATCTTTTATCTTGATTTTTGAGTTAAAACGTAATATGCTCCTATTGCTTTTTTCATCGGAAATTTTATTTAGTCTTCTTTCACTGGAGCTTTTTCTTTGGAAAAGATGGTTTTTAAAAATTTACAGCGCATTGTGTTTGCTTTCTTGGTTTCTCCAAAATTTTGACTTTTCACAGGCACATGCTACACGTAAGTGTCAATGGGTTTAATCTATACCGAATGAATTTTTGGCTAAAAATATTTAATACATGTAAAGAAATTTTATTGCAAAATTTTCACTTATTGGGAGCTCCGCTTTTAGGCTTGGCTAAATCTAGATATTATTTTCAAAATAATCATTTTTTTGGAAAGACACTGAAAAAAGAAATTCAATGTTATACTGCGCTCAGTACATGTACTTTGCTTTCATCTCCTCCCTCTTTTTTTTTTAGGCTTTTGGTCTCTCATACTGTGGTTGGTTTTTTCTTCAATCAACAGTTAAGAAATCATGAAAATAGAATTTATTGTTATTGAGCCTTTGTTCTCGCAAATCGACCAGTCAGGCTGGCACATGTGGCGAGGATCCTTAACATAAATTACTTTCATAGTAGTGCTTAGACTGAGTAGTGTCCTCTACTACATGGAATGATCGTCCATCATAATTATTGATTTTATTCACTGGGTGGAGAGAGAGGCACTATGAGAGATCACTGTCTTGCTCAATGGTGAAATGAACCAGCCAGGACTTTAACTCAGACCGCATAATTTAGAGTGCAATGTGGTAAACATAGAAGGCTTTTGTACAGCCCTCAATCCTGTTGTCATTTAATCCTTGTTGATGATGTCATTATCATAAATTATCCCTATGAATACTTATAGACTATGATAAGTTGTTGTTGTGATAATGGACAGCAAAATACACGCAGTAATAAATCCAATTTTTAACATGAATATAATTTTGAAAATTACTCAAATGATTTGGAAACACAAACCTCCCTGAATAACTAGTAACATAATTTTTAACATGAATATAATTTTGAAAATTACTCAAATAATTTGGAAACACAAACCTCCCTGAATAGCTAGTAACATACTTCCTAACGATAAAATCTTTATCGTAAACACTTCAAGCCAGACAATATCGAGCAAAAATATCCAGGAGTTTAACTCCTAGAAATTTGAAACATCAGGTATTTCCAGTCATGAGTAACCCTTGCCTGCCTAGTTCACTCTTTCGTTTCAATATTGATTTATTACTTCTTTGTGTCCCTTCGTTTTTGTTTCTGCCTTCGTTCTCAGGTGTCAGTTCTGTGTTTACCAAATTAGCAGTCAGAGGCTCCCCAAAAATGGCACGTTAGTGAACTAATTTTTCCTATTATTTTCCTCTAAAAGTCCCCTAAATCCAATCTGCAATCTCCTTCCCTGTAATCCATAAAACCAGATATTGGGAAAATTTGTTGTCGATGACCGAAATCATCCATGGTCGCTGACATCTTAAAAGGACAAATTTCATAAATAAGTAAGATAATCTAATTTCAAAGAATTATCCAAATAAAAGACCATAAAATGCAGCCAAGACACAAGAGAAACAGCATTTTAAAAGCGCTCATGTACTATTTTTAGGAAACACTATTACGGAGGGAAGCCTTTATGCCTCTTTAAGTGCAAAGCAACATACAGTTGTGAAACTAAAATAAATAAAGCTTCAGATTAATTTTTGAGCTTTCAAAATTTTGTTATCTCTGTAATTTAGGTGGTTTAGTTTCAAAACTTGATGTCGATCCTTCTTCCAAATAAGGAACTGGTTCAAGTCCATTCCACGTAATTCTTTTTTTCTTGCTCGGGATCAAAGCAGACGATCCCGAGAGGGCAAGATTATTTATCTTGACCGCTCAGGTGGCCGACAGGCCTGTGTTTTTTTTTTCAGGTCTGATTTTCGCTATTGTATAAATAGCGCTATCTACTGCGAAGGATCGTGCATCATACGTAATATCGACGATTATCATGTTATCAATTGTCCCGATATATCGAAAGGTTATTTTTCTAACTGTCGATATTTCGTCAAACCCTTTGAAAACATTTGCAATCAGAGATATATCGTCTTCGTGTGTACTAAGATAGGGGATAGCATTGAAGGTGCGCTTTCATGGCTGCTCAACCTTCGAATTTTCTTTGCTATTCACCTCCGAAAATGTTACGCCCGAAAATTTTGTAATCGTTGCCGCATAAGTGTACACCAAAACAACTTTTGCCAAGTTGTAAGTAACTAGTGGTGGATATTTCACTCGCCGCTTCACGGCTTAGTAAATAACCAGGCCTAAGAGGGGCAAAAATAATACAACGAGTAGTTTCTAGACGAGTGACAAGAACAAAACACATCAATAATTTAATTTGTATTTAAAAAGTTAGTTTTTAAAACTTACGGAATTGTTTTGACCTCAGAAAGGAGCACAAAAGGAGAAATAATAATTAACCATCATAATGAGGTCTAACTTGGAGACTATGATTCTCGTATCCAAGGAAATGTTATTCGCAGGAGTCAAAGTGACGAATTTTAAATTATGACCGTAATAAGAATCCGCAGTAGCTTTCACTTTTCCTATATTCCACGCTATTTGATCGGTTTTTCTTTAGCTTTTACATCTTTACCCTTTTTTGTGCGCATTCGGTTGAAAGTATTTCAAAAAAATAGTTCGAGACTACAAATGACTAATTAAAAATTTTATTCCGGGCAACAAACGCAGAAGTAACTTTGTAAACAACTCCAGGAGAGAGCTTCCAAACGGTGGACATCTCTTATATCTCGCAGCTGTATGATTACTTATCAAAAAGGATGACACATAAAAAATCGCTGTTTTAGTCATCAAGAGCTAAATTGCCGGAGACAGAAAACTAATGGATGGTTAAAAACATCGAGTCTTACGTCATTGCCAAGTCTTTTAACAACGTAAGCTACTGTTAGAAGGCAGATTAAGGACTTGCCTCTGACCGTGGCCAGTCCCTGAATATGAACTGCTGTCGCTTCCCGGAGCTTTCTTTCCTTCAGTTTCTGTTCCTCATGTTTGGAAGCTGGATATTTGCAAACCATGGTGAGTGAGCTTTCCTATCTCTGTATCCTAAGCGTAGGTCAACCAAATGCTGCTCATTAATCTTTACGAACTGTTCATGACCTCGACTGAGAGCCGTCCAGTAGTAGTTTCAGCCCTGTTATTTGCCTTTATATTTGAAGCAAACGACCTGTTAGGTCATGATCGCATGCTGAAATTATTCTGATGCGGAAAAGATGCCTTTTTAAAATTTTGTTTCTGAGAAAAACAATAAGTATTTCAGACCGCAGTTCACTTTAATCCGGAAAATTTAACTAGATAATTTTTTAATCCAGCTTGGCTTCGTTTAGACTGTTCTCACCGTATCTTTGGGGTATCACAACCCAGTTTTAAAACCGTTATTTTGTATTTCATTAGATTACTAGAGAGATTGCAGGCATGTTTCAAAATAAATTGTATTCCTCTGCACTTTCTGAGCTGTTGAATTGCGAAAACCGCTTTTAGACTCGTGGAAAAAAAAAACTGGATTATCGAAGGAAATGAGAAGTTACGGCCTCTGGACATTTCGAAAACTTTAGACGTTCTTTGAATTGTTAGGATTTTACATATGACGAGCTCGTTGAACCTTAATATTAGAACAAGTTTTCAAGTTTTTACCAGTCTTGGGCGGATGGTGACAAATTCAGTGAAAAGGAATATATTTAGATTTTTTTTACCAAAAAAAGTACGTCTCGGCAAGTGTCACTTTGATTTTGTAATGAGCCTGTTTCAACAGACTCGTGCTTTAAATCCTTGGTAAGACTGACAAATAGCGAAAATTCAACGAGTCATTAGTAATTCATCAGAAGGATCTGCATTTCAAACGTCCATTGCAAGAGTTAGAAATATCAAACATTTCGCACGGGAGGCAAACAAATTAAACCTTCGACTACGGCTCTAAATCAAAGACTACTTTGCAAGAATTCGAGCTCAACAAGATGACAGTTGCTTTTAAGAGGAGGAATTTAGAAATTCGTAGCAAAACTGTCCTCTTGAAAATTGGTCAAATAAAAATTACATGGACGTTTTTGACTAAGCTGTTTTTCCGTTCAGTTTGTCTTCGATGAAAGGAGTTGGTTTTTGCGGTCAAGTACTTATATCAAATAACTGATAGGTAATGTGAAAACTGCTGAAATGAAGAAAGACTAATGTTTTTATTGATCATTATCATCAAAGACTGCAGATTGCCCCGTTGAGCTATCAAACTTGCAAAAAGTATTGGTTGTAAATGATTCACCATAAAGGAGAGCAAAAAGTTACGTAACTTCCATAGNGCCCCGAAATCGCCCGGGATGTTGTCGAGACTTCAGCTCTGATAAAAACCAGAAGGAGAACTTTCTACATACACAAGTAGATTCCCCATTGGCAGTTTCACTGTTAAGGACACTAGACAGAAGGCTCAGTTTTATTAAATTTATTATTGATTAGTTTACTAGTTTCTGAATGATCCTAGATACCAACATAGTTACAATGTTTATCTGTTTTTCTAGATTTCTATTGGTTTTGTAATGGGACCTTTTCAGTGAGTTTAGCTTCCCTTCAATCAGTTCTTCGCAAGTTTTCAATAGTCTTGGCGAACTTTCGCCCTTTCGTTTTCTCAAAACTTTGGCACAAGCGGGACCGATATGTGGGTACCTTTGTAACTTTGATTTTGTAATCTAGTTTTTTCAGTGTTGGGCGACAATATACGAACAGATATTCCGTTGTATTACCGTATTCTCAATTTATTTAAGATTTAAAGGCCAAAATTGTTCCAAATGCGATCGAACGCCCACCATTTAGATAGGAACAATGGGCTGTTAACCAGCCACCAAAATTCTTGCAATTTGTATCGTAACTTTTGCACTGGTTTATTTGCATTGTTCATCATGATTGTCATTTCAATCTCGTTATTTCCGTTAAGTTTTTTACACGCGATTTTCCGATTATGTATTTCGCGACATTTCATTAGATTGATAGAACTTCGTTGCATTGTTATTTCGGCTTACGATCGATAGATTGATTGAATGCGACATTTCACCGTTGACTGTGGTTCGTGGTCCGTGGTCGATTGCTTTTCAAGAATAAATATTCGTGCAAATAGTCAGCTTGGTTTGTTATCTCGATCCGTAGAATGGTCCCCAAACACCTTGTTAACCGTGTCTTGGAGCGACGTCCCTTAGAACTTGAGAATCTAGATTTTTTGGTCGCCGCTAAGGCTACATTAACCATTTGTTTGAATTTATATTTGCTAGCTTGACTTTCAAAATTTTCACACCTTTGAATGAAAATATAGCTGCCCTATAAAGTGTAGACAGTGTTCTTTTCAGCCATTTAAAGCTCCGCGTGTTTTATGTTAAATCATAGAGTAAGGTATATATCTCTGAGACCCGTAGACCAACACATCTGGAGGACTCAGTACTGCTGTGTGTAATATAGCGTATTTGAACTCCGTTCTATTTATTCATTTAGCTTCGCAGACCGGCAGGGACACCGCAACAGCTTGCGCCAATTACTGCGGGCCCAGTAAACCCACCCATCGCACCCCAGGGGAGGACATCCATCACACAGTAATCTCGTGCGTGGGAAATTAACGTCTCCCACCCCTAACCCTACAGGAGACGGGACCTCCATTTATTCGTCCCTATCCGAGAAGACTAGAATATCTAACCATTTCTTGATGTTATAGAAAGGTAGCAAATTCTTCTCAATTATTTTAAGACCCTGAGTGTTGGTCCGGCCGGGGCTCGAACCCTCGACCTCCCGCACAACAGTCCAGCGCTCTATCCATTGAGCTAACCGGGAGGCGTTAGCTCAATGGATTTTTTGCGTGATTTTTTGCGTTCATGTATCTCTTTTCATTTTGTTTTTTTTTTGTGAACAAAGTCGCCAATGGACAAGGTAAAACTGTCATCCGAGAGCCAGACCAAGAACTGACTCACGCAAATTTTAAGGTACACAAGTTCTCCTATCTCAACATCACCAGCATTGGTTCAGATTATGTTATGGAAGGCAACGAGTGTGGATTTGCTTGTGTTAACATGCCTTCGTGCTTCTCCTTTAACCTGGCTTTAATTCAAGACATCATTGGTAGATTGCTGTGTGAATTTCTTCCATCGGATATCTACAGCAACTCGGACAAGTTCATCGCCAGTCAGAGCCACCATCACTTTAGCGTCACAGTAAGTTGGAAATCGGAATGTTTCAGAAATAAATTAAAGCCATTTTAAAAGATTGGACTCAAAATAAGACAACTTTTTTTTAATCCTCCAGTCAAAACATTAAGGCCTTTATAATCTTCTCCTGTCCCATTAAGATTCTGTAGAGTAGATGACTTGAACAACCAGATATGGAGCAATGCAACCGTAGATACATCTCTGACCAGAAGCTCCAAACACCTTTAGGTCATTCTTGGGTCTAATATAAAACGTAGTGATGTACAATTTTTGCTATCGAGATTTTTACCAATTTCTGAGGAGGCTCTCGGCCTGGAAACAAGCAAATAAAAAATCCGGAAAATAGAAAAAAAAAACATTCTTAATTCCTTTAAAATGTTAGAAATGCTCTGTTGCAAGGTTGATATTGTCTTTCTCCTGCCAAATTCTCACACAACTGCTGTTTTACATTATGTTAGGTGCTACAAAGCTATAGAAGACAAGCAAGTGATTGTAAAATTCACGTGTTTTAATTCATCGGAACTTAAATATTTTTTCTTGGGCAAAAACTTCGATGACCCTTTTAATCCTCTTCAACCACAAGTTAAGAATGGAAGGCATGCACGAAATTGTAAATTAGTCGTTTGTCCCTTTAGTCTCCATGTATCAGTTGGCCGTGTCAGAACAACGGGACATGCGCCGCACATCACGAGAAGAACAATTATGTGTGCCTTTGCACAAAAGGATACACCGGGAAACATTGCGAAACGGGTAAGAAATCTTACACTTTATAAGCCAAGACCTTTTCCAACTTTCAACACACTACATACAGGCATAGTTCTTATCTACAGTAATGACAGTTGTAAGGCGAATTTGATGATTCTTTCAGCAACCAGCTGATGATGGAGGTATAACGCACTGAAATTTTAGTTCTCTCGCTCTTTTAACATTAGAACATCTGATCCACATACAGCACAACTGTTCACACCATATACCCTTCAGTCCTAGCTTTCCATGAAAGATATTGCCAGCTAATGCTCCTTAACATTTATCTGAATATTATATTAAAAAATAAAAAGACATCGAGGAATGCGTACTTGTCATGGAAGTGGCGAAACATGTAGACTGAGTAAGTTTGATTAATGGTCTAAATAATGAACACATGCAGATCAGGTCTTTGCAGATCACAACTAGCGATATTTTCGTCCGATTTTTTCCCTGATGACTTTCTTCACGAAAAGACCGCTTTCCAAATTTTCAGATGGTTCTAAAATCTTCGTAAAATCTCCTCCTTTCAAAAATTTAAATAAGCTTGAATGAAAATGGTCCTTTAGTTTTATGAAGAAGCACGACTCCAGACTCTTGGAGATATTTGTTTGACTGAGGCCAAAGGATAAGCCTCCAAATGTTGGAATGTCTTTTACAGCTTTTAAACTAAGAGTTATAATTCTTGACTAAAACAGGAAAAAAGTGAAAAGTAAGGCTTAAAATTTAAAACTAGGGAGTGCATTAATGTATTAGCGAGAACCGAATCTACCTTCATGGATTGATAATAGTTGTTTAAAGTTTGTATCCCCAAGTCGGAGGGAGGTATTAAACACAATTGTCACTGGTTCAGTTTTATTTCATAAACAGCTCTAATCGCCTCCAGTATCCTGAGCGGTCTTGACCGTGACAAGTACCTAGGAGTGCTGGTATCATATATGAGTCCAGTTCTCATGGATTCCAGCCGCAGTGTATTTGTTAGATGCTGGCATGCCAAGACAGACGGATGGGCTGCAGCAACATTTCATAACAACTGTGATGGAAAGGGACCCACAGTGACACTCATCCTGGTCAACTCTTACATATTTGGAGGATATACCAATGTGCCATGGAACGGTAAGGCTTGAAAGTAAACTTTCATATTTGCTTACACGGAC